TGTGTCAACTCGGCTGGGCCATGGTTCTCAGTGGTTTGGCAGTTATGATGTAGGTTGGCAGTCGTATGATGATATAATCACTTCCGTGATGAGATCTTGTATAATGTGATCACCTTCATGATGGAATCTGCTGTGAGTAGCCAGTCAGTTGAAAGGGAGTTTCCTTGGGGGTGTGGCCTGCATCCAATATAAGTGGACTTTCTGGCAAGGCTCACGGGCTTTTGTTTGCGCTGGCACCTGTTCGTCTGACCTCCGATTTTTGGGACTTGAGCTAGCAGCTTACCTGCCTTCTTGGCTGCTGCTCTTGGGATTCATCAGTCTCTGCAGCCTGTCAACCAGAGCCCCGCTGTCTGACCTGCTGATCTTGGGTTCACCAGCCCCTGCAGCTGCATAAGTCAGGAGAAGTCTCAGCCTGACCCAGGGACTTGGGACTTTCCAGCCTCTACAACTGTATGGGCCATTTCCTTGATATAAATCTCTTTATGGTGGCATAGTGGTTAAGAGCTACAGTTGCTAACCAAAAGGTTGGCAGTTCGAATCTAGCGGGCGCTCCTTGGAAACCCTATGAGGCAGTTCTACTTTGTCCTGTAGGGTCACTATGAGTTGGAATCGACTTGACAGCAATGGTTTTGGCTCTCTCTCTCTATATATATGTATATATACACATATATATACACATATATATACACATACATAGACATATATATATATATACACACACACACACATACACACACACACACACACATATATATATATATATTTTGGGTCCTGGTGGTGCAGTGGTTAAGATTTGACTGCTAACCAAAAGGTTGGCAGTTTGAACCTACCAGCTGTTCCTTGGAAAACCTATGGGGCAGTTCTACTGTGTCCTGTAGGGTCCCTAAGAGTCAGAATCGACTCGATGGCAGTGGGTCTGGTTTTTGGTGTGTGTATATATATATGTGTGTGTGTGTGTGTATATATATATTTATATACTTTACTGGTTTTACTTCTCTAGAGAGAACCCAGCCTGAGACAGAGTCATTGGAGGATTCATGACTTAATATATGGACAAGTGCCAAGTCTAGTCCCTAGCCTGTAGCAAGTGCTTAGTAACTATTAGCCATTGCTATTACTATAATTAAGGCTAAAACAGAGGTTTGTGCAAATAATTCCAACCTTTAATGATGCTGTGAACTTCAGGGCAGTGACTGTGGTGTTTAACTGAGCTCTCTGAAGTGTTCAGCACTGTGTTAGTCACTGAACAGACAGGAGTAAGGCACGGTCCTTTCCCTGCAGGAGCTGACAGTGAGTGAGGATAGGGTATAAATAAGGCAAACTCACTGGTAATAGTCATGCTGAGTCACGGGTTGGACATGAAGGTAGATCAAGGAAGGAGAGACGTCTTTGTGGACTGGAGTGGGCTGAGGAGGCTTCTGTAGCTGTGCCTGAAGGGTGGGTGGGAAAAGCACACATTTTGCCTGGAGTACATCTCCTGCCTTCAGAGGGATCAGACTGAGCAAACAAGAAAGGGGGAAGAGCTGAAGTGTGCCTGCAGTCATCTCTCCATTTCTCAGAGGCACTGGACCCAGAGCTTGGATATCCCAGCCAAGGGCCAGGACACAGTGGAATGATTTAGAACCTCCCACATCCACTTGGAACTCAGCTGGCGGCTTTTTCCCTCCCCACCCTAGGCCTTGTTTCCCCATCTGTCAAATGGGATAGCATGAAGACTTGCTGGCCACCATGCTTGGCACAGCTTCCATACTCTGTGGAGTGTGACGGATGCTTTTCTGGGTCTACCTTTGAGTTTATCCAACTTCAAGACCAAGAACAGACTCGTGTGCCATCGTCTACACTGTTGTTATTAGCTGCAGTAGAGTTGGCCCCCAACTCATGGCAACTGCATGTATAATGGAACGAAATGCTACCCAGTCCTGTGCCACCCACATGATTGGTTGCAGTTAGACCGTTATGATCCATAGGTTTTTCACTGGCTAATTTTCAGAAGTAGATCATCAGACCTTTCTTCCCAGGCTGTGTTAGTTTGGAAGCTCTGCTGAAACCTGTTCAGCATCATAGGAACGTGCAAGCCTCCACTGACAGATGGGTGGTGGCTGAACATGAAGTACATTGGCTGGGATTTGAATCTAGGTCTCCCGCATGGAAGACGAGAGTTCTGCCACTGAGCCATCACTGCCCTCATCTTCAGCGTAGGGCGTGGTAAATGTAAGCAAGGTTCCCAGGCAATGTGAGCAGTTGGGGTCAGCAGTTACGATCCGAGATATGGAATATTTTTTCTTGAATGATCAGGGCATCTGTATTGGATTTTGAAGACAGAGAAAAGAAATCTAAAGATTTAGGAAGCTTGCCAGTGCTGGATTAGAAATTGAGATGAACTTGTCCAACACTTTTATTTTGCAAATGGCCACACTGAAACCCAGAAAGTTAGTGGTGGAATCTGAACCAGAAGCTGGGGTCAGCTGACTGTGGGCTCAGGGTCCCTTGCTCTGAAATGTGCTGCCTCTTGCTATCAAAGCCTTTGTTTATCTGACGTTGCAGCCGCGCACAGCTGTGGAACAGGGACACCATAGACGTCAGGGATTCCATAAATGATGCCAGACCCAGCTTGCTCTAGGTCAGTTGGGTCTTGGACATGCCTATGCTGATCTCACTGCCTTCAGCCTGAGCCTCAGTGAGTTTGGAGTATTGCTCTGGGCCTCTAGAATGTTTAAACCATCACCCAAAAAAGATTCCTCAAAATGTGCCACTGTGAAAAGCCAAGGTCACAAATCAAACAGCCCAACACGTCCCCACTTCAGACCCCTAAACCTGTGGTTCTCAAGTGTGGTCCCCAGAACAACAGCATCAGCATCACTTGGGATTCTGTGAGAAATGCAGATTCTTGAGCCTCATCCTATTGCTGCTGAATCAGAGACTCTGGAGATGGGGCTCAGCAATCCATGCCTTTAAGGAGTCCTAAGAGTGATGCTGCCGACACTGAAGTTTGAGAACCACTGTCTTAAACATCTCTCGGAGCCTGGAATAGCTCGTGGCTTTTCCATTTCATTGGTTGTGAAAACCACTCTTCTGCCCACATCTTTTTCCTTCCAGGGTACCATCCCACCCTCCACCTTGCCATTTGGGCGAACACTGGGGGGTGGAATGACGAGGAATAGAAAAGCAGTGACCCTGCAGCAGGAAGAGCTGTTTGCTTTGGCAGGTTTGTCTGGACTTGGAGCCAAGATTCCATCAATCCTGATGATTGACTTTATTTAAATGATTCTCCTGTTTTCCTGTGCCTCCTGCTTGGGCGGGAGAGTAGGGGGGTAGGGGTGGGAGTGATTAAGGTGTTTACTGGAAAGGAGCAGGACCAGAGCTATCCTTTGTCCCACTCTGATGCCCATGTCCCTGCTGCCAGGCCACCAATGCACACGTCTTCTCAAATAAAACCAAACCAGGCGGCCCTTTGCTGAGTGGGGTTTTCGTTTTGCACCATTAGCTTAAATCGGTGGGAATAACACAATCCATGAAATCAAGCAGTTAGGCAGCGGGATTCCGGATGGCTGACATCGATGCTGGCGTGTGTGTGTTTGTGTGTGTGTGTGTTAGGAGGGCAGTAAAGTTGTCAACTCTACTCTTCTGCCTGACACACTCCCCACCTCCTCAAAGTGTCTAAGATCCAGAAAAGAGGACAACTTCAGTTAAATAATTTGCCCCAAGTGAGTCACTCAAGCATTTTCTACGTCTGCTGGTTTTTTGCAGATGGGAGAAAAAGAAAGCTGCTTTCAGTCTTTTTTTTTTTTTTGGCAATTTATGTCCTTGTAGTCAGTAAATGCATAAAAGTATGCGGCATGTGGTTTGTGGTCAGGGGAGAGAGTCTGAGTTATTGTGACAAAGTGCAAGCCCCTTTCTTTGCTAAACGAATCAATGATTCCAAGCACTGGCTCCTGCCGGGAACAGAGGAGTCTGTTAAACTACCATTGCAGAGCCTTTGTCAGTCGGGCACATTTGGGCCCTAATGCCTCAAAGGTAGCGCTCCACGGTGTCCAGACCCTCTGCTGAGCATTGGAAGGAGGCTGCAGTTTTCACAGCCAAGGGCCGTTACCCAGCGCTCTTACCAAATCTCATGTGCACAGTTGGATTTGGGGACTGGCGCTTTCCACCTCAGGGTTGCCCGCCCAGGAGATTTGTGAAGCTGGGGTCGAGCAATGAAATCCGACCCGCTCTCTCATTATGGCTTAGTTAGGCCCTATTATCTGAACCCACCCAGAGGTGCTTCGGAAGAAAGGCCTGGCTTCCATAAAGATTACAGTTGAGAAAACCCCGTGGAGCAGTTCTATTCTGTAATACGTGGGGTTGCCATGAGTGTGAATAGACTCAATGTCAACCAACAGGTTTGGTTTGGTTTCTGTTATCGAAACAGACTTTTTCACCTGGTGGCACTATGTATGTAGGAGGGCGTATATTCTGAGCCCCAAGGGGGCTGACTGATGGGGCTGGTCACAGCCAGCTGGTCACAGGCCATTTCGCGAGTTTGCTAGTCTCATCTCTGTGACTACCTTATGCTCTGCTCTTCAGATCATCTATTAGGGAATGTTAGCTGTCTCTGAAAGGTTGGCAGTTTGAACCCCCCTAGTGGCTCCGTGGGAGGAAAATCTGGCCATCTGCTCCTGTAAAGATTACAGCCTAGAAAATCCTAATGGGCAGTTTCACTCTGTCACAGGGGTCGCTTTGAGTCAGAATCGACTCGATGGCACACAACAAGAATCGCCCTCTCTGAAAGAGAAAGTAATTAAGAACGAAAGAAAGTAACTTGGGGCAGATATCTGGCCACACATCTTGATTTCTAAGTTAGTGATTTTTCTTCAGCACCCTTTGGAGAAAATGTATCCAAAGTGCTTGCCCAGTTGTCCCTAGAATCTGCTGTCCACTTTTGTTCTCCTGCTCAGAAGAACTATGGAATAAAGCAGAAGGCTCTGGGTGGTCAGGCAAGGGAGCAGATTCTGGTCGTAGCTATGAGCATCTCCAGCTCCATGGTCTTGGGCAAGTCACTTAACCATTCAGAGCATCAGTTGAACTGGACCTAGTGTCTCTTCCAGCTTAAAGTAAATAATCCAAATTCTAACCTAATTAATTTTGCATCTGAAAAATGATAAAGACAAAGTTCTGCATCCTATTTGGTGAGTAGCATCTGGGGTCTTAAAAACTTGTGAGTGGCCATCTAAGATACAACTACCAGTCTCTCACCATCTGGAGCAAAAGAGAATTAAGAAAACCAAAGACCCAAAGGAGAAATTAGTCCAAAGGACTAATGGACCACATGTACCACAGCCTACACAACTCCGAGTCCAGAAGAACTAGATGGTGCCCAGCTACTACTACCAACCGCTCTGACTGGGATCACAACAGATGATCCCAGACAAAGCGGGAGAAAAATTGCAGAACAAAAAAAATCAAATTCACAAAATGACCAGATTTACTGGTCTGATAGAGACTGGAGGAACCCCCGAGACTATGGCCCTAAGATACCCTTCTGACCGGGAACTAAAGCCGTTACCGGAGACCAAACCATAGACAGGTCCATAAAATAAACAATAACACCCGAGAGGAAGGTATTCCTTAGAAAAATCTATTAAACAAGATCAAAAGGGCAACATTTGTCCAAAGGGAAGATAAGGCAGGAAGGAGTAGCAATTCAGGATGAAAGGAAATGGGGAACTTAGGATGGAAATGGGGGGAAGGCAGGCACATTGTGGGGAATGGAACCAATGTCATGGAACACTTTGTGTACAAACTATCAAATGGAAACTATTTTGCTTGGTAAGCTTTCACTTAATGCACAATCAGAAATTAAATACAAAACAAACAAACACAAAAATAAAAATGTCAGGGATGAATGGAAACTGAACCAATGAGAGTGTTCATGCATCGTGAAGAATGTAACCAATGTCACTGAATAATTTGTGTAGAAATCGTTGAATGGGAACCTAAACTGCTGTGTAAAACTTTACCAAAAACACAATAAAATGTTATTTTAAAAAAATGATGAGGATTGACTAGATCTGTAATAATACCCCCCCCAAAAAAAAAATGGAGGGGGGAACCAGCAGGAAAAGCAGTGGAATTCTTATTCAAACAAACCCTTGTTGTTATGTGCCATTGAGTCAGTTCTGACTCATAGCAACCGTATGTACAACGGAACGAAACACTGCTCATCTGGTGCTATCCTCATAATTGTTGCTATGCTTGAGCCCCTTGTTGCAGCCACTGTGTCAGTCCATCTTGTTGAGGGTCTTCCTCTTTTTTGCTGACCCTCTACTTTACCAAGCATGGTCCCCTTCTCCAGGGACCCGTCCCTCCTGATAACATGTCCAAAGTACGTGAGACAGAGTCTCGCCATCCTTGCTTCTGTGGAGCATTCTGGCTGTACTTCTTCCAAGATAGATTTGTGGCAGTCCATGGTATATTCTTCTTCTGGCAGTCCATGGTATATTCAGTATTCTTTGCCAACACCATAATTCAAAGGCATCATTTCTTCTTTGGTCTTCTTATTCATTGTACAGCTTTCACATGCCTGTGAGATGATTGAAAACATCATGACTTGGGTCAGGTACACCTTAGTCCTTAAAGAAGTGACATCTTTCCTTTTTAACACTTTAAAGAGGTCTTTTGCAGCAGATTGCCCAACAAATCCTTAAGAAGCCTTTACTAAGGGTTTAACTAGCCTTGTCTGATTGAACAGGAGAGTGGAAGGCTTGCCAAAAATACATGTATGTAGTTTAAAAACCCAAATAGGCCTTTAAAAAAGGCTTCAGTCCCTGCCTTCCCAATCCTGATTCCCATACCTCAGGGTAACCATTCTCAATTATTTTAGCTGTTTCTTGTGATATTCAGCAATATTGAGTAAATAAATAACATGCTTATGTTTTGATTTCTTGATTTTTGTTTTTAGACATTATCTGTTGATTTTCTGCTATGGAAGATAAAGATTCAGCTATCTTACACTGTCTCTCCATATTCTCTCCCCATTCTTGCCAGTGTTGTTTTGGCACACTTTTGGTTAAAGTAATATTCAGTGTTCATTATAATTATGTAAATATTATTTGCAACTGAGCCATGTAGTATCTTGCCTTTATATTTCCTTTCTTTTACATCTTTTTTTTCCCTTTGAAACAGTAATTGCCTTAGTTTATTTGCCCAGCTTCTTATGTTTCTGTTATGAATTCAGTACTAATCTTTCTGGCAGGTCACCTAATAATGGTCATACACATCAGGTAGCCTGACTGAGCCCTTTGCCCTCCTGTTCCAATCTGGGCTGGCTGGTCACTAGGCCGGATGCACAGATGTTCTGGAACCACTGTTCTAGGATTTGTCTTTGCCTTTATCTTATATTGGGTCTTTGGTTTCCTGAATCTCCTGTCTTCTTTCTTGTTTGCTTCTGTATTTTTGTGGCACACATAATTGAGTAGTTTCCTACGAAAAGATATATAGATATATATATATAAACTTTTGAATGTCTGAAGATATCTTTATTCTACTCTCACACACTGATTGATAGTTTGGCTGGATATCGAATTTGGGGATTTTAAAGGAATTGCTCCATTATCTTCCAGCATCTAATGTTGCTGTCGATAAATTCAGTGCCATGCTGATGCCAGACTCTTTGTATTGAATATATTCTTTCTCTCTCCTGTCTGGAAGACTTAAAAGGTTCTCTTTATCCCCTGGTGTCTCTAAATGTCATGATTTAGTGAGCTTGGCACTGTTTAATCTGAGAACCCATGTTTTTTTGTTTCTGGAAAGTTTTCTGTATTATTTCTTTGTTATTTTCTCCCATTTGTTTGTTTGATTTTCTCCTTCTGTAATGCCTTTAATTCAGACATTGAAACTCCTGGATTGATCCTTTATCTTATTTTTTTTTCCTCCTGTTTTCTAACTCTTGGTGGTTTTATTCAGCTTTCCAGGAAATTTCTTCAATTTTGTCTTAAAGTGCTCACCTTAAATTCTTTATTTCTAGTTTTATATTTTAAATTTGCTAGTACTCGTTCACATTCTGTAAAGATTCCTTTTAACAACGTCTTATTCTTGTTCAGGAGCCCTGGTGGTGCAGTGGTTAAGATCTTGGGCTGCTAACCAAAAGGTCAGCAGTTCAAATCCACCAGCCACTCCTTGGAAACCCTATGGGGCAGCTCTGCCCTGTCCTATAGGGTTGCTATGAGTTGGAATCCACTCGACAACAATGAATTTGGTTTTATTCTTGTTTATAAATACAACATCCTCTCTGAGATTATTATCATTTTAAAAAGTTTTCTTTTGTTCCCTGCATTGTCTCTGCTATCTCTGAGTTCTTTTTTCTGTTTGTTTTGTAGGTTTCTGTCTCTTGTTCACATTTAGAGGTCTTCCTTAAATGCATGCCATCCTTGGCTCTCCATTTGGATTTAAGAGTCCAAAACCAAACCCGTTGCCGTTGAGTCGATTCCAACTCCTAGCAACCCTATAGGACAGAGTAGAACTGCCCTATAGGCTTTCGAAGGCTGTAATCTTTACGGAAGCAGACTGCCACATCTTTCTCCTGCGAAGCGTGTGGTGAGTTCGAATAGCCAACCTTTCGGTTAGCAGCGGAGCGCTTAACCATAGGGCTCTAAAAAGCCAATTGGGATCTGTGTGCGCATACACAGGTGCTGTGATTTTTTGCATCTCATTTTAGAGTTTTATTGGAAGGACCTGTAGGTGTTTTCTTTTGGACTGCTAGTTTAGAGAGAAATCCTTCATTACTCTGGCTGGGGGATGTAAATTTAGCTACCAGTGTTCTCAGAGCTGAAAGTCTCACTCTGCAGACTTTCACTTAACCTCCTGGTGTCAGTGTAGCAGCTCACCCCTGCCCTCCTATGTGTCTGGTGTGGCTGAGCCCACAGTCTATCTGGTTCAAACTTTCTGGGGTTGGGAAGGGCCAGTCATCTGGCATCGTGGCCCAGGGGAGGGGATCTGAGTGTCCTTCCTTATACAGACTTTATACCAATTCTATATTTAATACAGCCTCGGTAATGGAGTTCAGGGGAAACCCTGGTGGGGTAGTGGTTAAGTGCTATGGCTGCTAACCAAGAGGTTGGCAGTTTGAATCCATTAGGCGCTTCTTGGAAACTCTATGGGGCGATTCTACTCTGTCCTGTAGGGTCGCTGTGAGTCAGAATCGACTTGAAGGCAATGGGTTTGGTTTTTGGTTTTCTGTAATGGAGTTCAGAAGCACCCAATGTTTCCAATTCATGAGCACTTCTGGGTTCTGCATTGTGGGTCAGCTTGCTGCTTCTTACTGGCATCCCACTCTGGAAGCTCCCAGGTTTAGGCCTTTCTCCCTGCATGCCAAGCCAGGTTCCACCATCCATTTGCTTTCTGTTATACAAAATATTGTTGATGTGTTCTTGTTTCCTTTCTTGCACGTGTTTATAACTTTTTTTTTAAACTATAATTTTAATCTGATTTCAGGAAAGACTGGAAATGATTGTGTGTGCTCAGTCTGTTTGGCTAGAAGTGGCCAGTGGCACCTCTTCGCAGACTTTCCGGAATTTGACTCCACGGCACACCTTTTCTTTTCACCTCCCACTGACTCTTTTTAGCTCTCTGGAATTCACCATCACCGCTTCACATTCTGGCCTCCTAGAGGTCTTCAGTGACATCTTATCACCACATCTGGTGACCTAGTCTCAGACCTCATTCTTCTCCAACTCTGCAGCGTTTGGGATTGACAAATGTTTTCTCCATTTGAAGTGGTTTTCTCCCGTGGTTTTTGTGACACTGGTCTACCTGGTTTTCCATCTGACTTATAATTATTTTTATTGTGATAAAAATTCATATAACAAAACATTTGTCAGTTCAGCGTTTTTGCATGTGACGTCTGTTATGTTCATCACGTTGTACGACAATCGCCGCTGTCCTTTGCCAGATTATCTTACCACCATTAACAAAACCTCAGTGTCCCCATAAGCATGACTCCCCTACCATCCTGTGCCTGGTATCCACTAAGAAACTTTGGTCTCTGTGTTGTT